AGCTCATCGAAGGAATTCATTTGTTTAGTCAATTACCAAAATTTGGATGATTTTGAATATTCACTTGAAAAGTTATCAAAGAAAAACATTTTTCATTTTGTAACTTCGAGGGCCCGTAACTTGGTTACGAAGACTTTTAGGAAAAAAAGTTATATGAAGTACTGGTGATATTTTGACCCCATCTATACATTCCCGAGAGGAAAAGAGGAAGTCCAGGGACACCCTGTATTTCACATTTTTCTATTATAAGCATCTACAGAACGAAACTTAACTGATACAAGTAACTAGTAGCAAGTAGAAAATAGTTTTATCATTTGTTTCAGATACTTCTCGCGCTCGAAAAGAAAATGAAGTGGATGGCCAAGATTATCACTTCATAACTCGTGCTCAATTTGAAGCGGATATACTTTCGAGGAAATTCGTCGAACATGGAGAATACGAGAAAGCCTATTATGGTACTTCGTTGGATGCCATTCGATCTGTGGTCAATTCCGGCAAAATTTGCGTTCTGAATTTACACCCGCAGAGTTTGAAAATTCTGAGAACTTCCGACCTGAAACCGTACGTTGTCTTTGTAGCACCCCCCAGTCTGGAAAAGTTGAGGCAGAAGAAAATCAGAAATGGAGAGTCTTATAAGGTAAGCCAAATATATTTGAGTAGGTAGGTTGAGAAAATTATATTTCAGAAAATCGGGAAAGGTAGAGAGGACACAACACTTTTGGGATCAATATTGTTTGGTGGGAGAAGTAAATTAGGTGGATTTGGATATATATATAAACTCGACAATAAAATAAATAAGTATATGGTGAGGCAGTAATTCGGATCGTCACAGATGTAATAACTCCAAAACTATTTTTTTTTAAGATTCTTATTTACATTTAACAGTCTAATGACCAGGTCGGAAGTTGATATTAATGAAATTCTCACAGTGTACCATACTTGTAAAAGAAAAGCTTGTGTGTAAATAGATATCCATGACTGCCTTCTTCAGATATTCTTGACTTTTGAATACAGAAAAGGAACTGTGAAGTCATATTTCACACAAACACAATTTTCTGAAGCATTCTTTTAAAAAAAATTCAAACATATCATGTGAGTATAACCTCACAGTGGTTTAGAAATATATATTATTTGAAATTATTGTTTTTTTCCCTACTATAAACATGTATGTTTTTTTTGGGAAAATTAATCGGTATTATCATCATTTATGTTTAAGAGGAAACTCTCATATTGTATAAACCGAACCTACAGCTGGCTATGAAATAGTAGCGCCGGCGGTAGCCTTAAACAATATTCTGCATTTTGGGGCACAATTTCAGTTTGAATTTGAAATGACTTTAAGATTAAAAACTTTTTCATCTTTTAACTTTACATGTATTTCGACTTTCTTGTAGATTCACCGTATAAAGTAATTATTATATTATTTGCTTCCAGGAAGAAGAACTTAAAGACACAATTGAGAAAGCACGAGAAATGGAAGAGAAATACGGACACTTCTTCGACCTGATAATTATAAATAATGATACAGAGAGGGCTTATCACCAGTTATTGAATGAAATAAATAGTCTAGAACGAGAACCTCAGTGGGTTCCAGCAGCATGGGTCAAGGCGCCGTAATGACAAATTGTCCCGCCATAGGTATTCATTCCTGAAAGAAGAATTGCTGGAGCATTTTTCAAAAGATCACATCGTCTGTGAGTTTGACAGCATCAGCAAATATCATTTGTACATGGTATCGGTTAATGGTATCAACTTGAGCGGCACTTTGGTTTTTCAATGAGAAATATCTGACAAGCTAGATATATAAATACTATTAGAAAGTATATTTACTTCATATTGGTGTGTAATGTCACATGGTATCTACATGTTGATTGTACACTTTGAATTTGTAAAAAAGCGGTACTGAATTCAAGAAATTATAGCTGATTTATACACCAAACTTTCATAAAATTTGTGAATTCAGTGTAGTCACATTTCAAAGGTTATAATTAACACTTTGATGGCCGGAGACGTATAAAACTAACTAGGTGAGAATATGAAGAAAGTGAATTAGGTAAAAGAACAAGAAACAATTAATCCCAGAGGGTGTGAGAACTCTTTATGTAGCAAAATATGAGCTGTCGAATCCAAGAAAATGTAGCAGAAATGTTATGGATATTATAAAAAGTATTGTTCATTGTTATCTGCTTTTGCAGAAGTTGGCAAAGAAATGTACAATAAATCTAGGCTACCTAAACTGTCTGGATTTTGACAACTACAGATTGATGTTTAGTCTACTGTCCATAAACATCAGAGTTTAAAACAAAAACTGTGGAACAGTCAAATACTACTTCATTTGAACTAATTTTTTTCGTCAATTTTTGAATTTTCTGCAATTTTTGCTTTCAAAGTCTTGGGATTCTGGACAGAGAATTAGACAACCACAGATCAATGTTCAGTCTACTATTGAGAATCATAAAACTTTGAACGAAAAAACTGCAGAAAAGCCAATTAGAGTTGAAAAACAACAAAATAATATTACTCTATATAAAGTAGTATTCGACTTTTTTGGGATAACTCAAATTTTGCAGTTGATATTGAATTCTCACTTTCTTTGGGATCAAATCTGCTTCTTGTTTTTTTTAATCTTTGAAAAATGTTTTCTTACTAATTCTGTTTTTTGTCCTTATTCTAAATTTCTTAGTCCCATCAAAATCGTCAAAATGTTAACTAGAAGCTTTTAAATGACAACAAAATTTGACAGTTTGAATAATTAAAAATTGACATAACAATTTTTTATCAATAAAACTATCATTAAATTCTTGAATTTAATATAGTTGTTTCAGCATATGAAAGTTTATAATTATTATTTTGATGACTATAACAGGGCATATAAAGCTAAAAAATGAAGAAAGGGAAGTTATCTTGTGAGAAAACATTTCTCAAAGATGTGCAAAAATGTGAAAAAAGGAGAAACAGACTCAATGCCAATGGCAGTAAATATTTTTTACCATTTCAGTACATTTACATAGTATGTAAATATATATCATTTCCACTCCTCATCGTCAGTAGCAAAATATCAAACTTTTGAAAGTAATGCATATTGTGACTGACACTCTTAACATGATGAGAGCAACTTTTGAATAAATCAAATTATAAATCTTATGAGGAATAGTAAAATATATTTCAGAAACAGAAAGTGGTGTAGTTGAAAGATTTCTGCACTTTCTATTAACTACTAATTCCTAGATTGAAAATCGAATTGAGATAATAGCGATTAACTGAGAGAGGGCAATAATTACTGTAAATGAATACAATTTAGAATCATATAAAAACGTGTTTAAATTCCATTGTTTATAGCTATGTATATTTAGCGTCTCGAATATGTATATATACTATATTAAATCAGTTTCAAATATTGAATGATTCAGGAGAATCGAGAATATCAATATTGAATGCGAGAAAAAATGTTCAATACAGTCGAAATTATCGATTGAAGTTCTTAGTTTCTGAAATAATCACAGAAACCCAGAAAGTATGAAATGTTTGCATGTAACACCAACCTTTTATCTCCTCTTAGACCGAAATGAAATTGAAATCATTAAAAAAAAGTTAAATTGTCTATAGCAGGCATCCTACGTTAAAAATTTTAAGGGGTTACTTTCATTTCTGATTTTCCTACACAGATGGCACTTTGAAAAGCAACAATAGCTGATGGCTTCTACAAAACCAAAGGAAACCAAAAAATGCTTCAAATTGTTCCATAGTAAAAAGGAGCACAAAAGGTGTGCATTCTTTGTGAGTTCATTTCCAGAGCCCACCAACAAAGGAAAAGGGAGTCAGGTATAACCTTGCTTGAAAGCTAAATTATTAATCAAAATTAAACTCGGATATGTTCAAAACGAGAATAGGCTAGGAAAAAAACGAAGAAAAAATTATTTCGACATGAAAAAATATATAACTCCATTGTTAGGATTACCCTATGACTTGAAAGAAATTAATTTTGGCTTCTTATCAGTTTCAAATAAAAGGTCGATCCTAGCATTTGGGTATTGTTCATTTTGTACCGAATATTTACAGAAAGACAGAAGAACATGATACAAGCATTATCAAAGTTACGAGAGGGAAGAGTCATAGAAGAATCGTTAATTTAGATTTTTCTGCTTTATTATTAAACAGAAAATAAAAAGGTATAGAGGTTTTCCACAACATTTTATAAATGCTACGAATTCAAGTATTTGATTTTAAGTATGATGTTTCGTATTTTACAAGTTACCGAGTCTGTGAATGAAGATATTGTATGGGCCATAACGGAATAGGAAAATAACTGGTAATAAGGATTCAGAAAAAAAATTCTTGTTGGTGAAAATAACAAACGACAAAAAACATCCTATTATCAAAGTTTGTTATGTAAAAAAAACACTGAAAACACCATAAGACAGATTTTAAATTGCAAAAGACATTAGCGGAAATGAAATATTTTGAGACTGGGCAAAATCACTTGTTGCTTATTGAAACAGCAACAGAGAAAAAATAAGAGAAAAGGTCGGTTAAATATACATATTTCAGAGTACTACTAAATTTCAGAGATATGCTGGAAAAAATGACACTTTTGAAACTCTTTTTTTGGCTGTATCGTCATTATTTGCAGAGATATTCTGAATTTATGTATACTCTGCTGCAGAACTTCCAGTGGGTTATCAGAATATATTCATAGAATTTTTTATCGATTATCCAACTTGAGTCACTCTCAACTTTTAAATTTTAAATACGGACCTGTATTTTTTTGTAGACATTTTTTTATTAACAATATATGTTTAATATTGAGAAATTCTATTGTCTTCGATATTATTAACGTTCTTAATAAAAAAACGAAAGGTTCAGGAATCTCGAGAATTTAATTTCTCAATTTCGAATGAACATTGCCAATTGAAAAAATTGCTAAAGAAAGTACTAGTATTTTTTCAATATTCCAAGTGGCCTCCCTTTATAACCTTTTTGTGCACATATTCTGATAACCCATTGAAAATTACCATGGCAAAGTATAAACAAATTTCCCATATCTCTATGAATGAAGATGTTGATAAAATTTTTGAATTCTCAGTTTTCTTCTGTGTATCTCTGGAACCAAAAAAATATTCAAGTTTTTAGTATAATTCAGTAGTAATTCAAAAATGGTTAATTTTTATTAGTGACTCTGGAATCTAGAGAAGAGATACGCCCACAAAAATTGTTTCTTCTTACTACTTACCACAGACAAAAATGCAAGCAGTTCGCGATTTTTAGAAATTTAGTTTCAGCTATTTTTCAAAGTGCCATACTGTATGAGATTTTTTAATTTATTTCACTTTACTTCTAAATGTACCTTATTGAAACTAAAACTGAGTTAACCTACCCTGTTTTCTGTGGATCATCATGTAGATAGGTATATTAATAGAATTTTGAGTAAATCGCTCATATTTTGATTGATGTTAGAAAACTTTTGTAATCTAATGAAATACAAATTAGAATTCTTTCATTGGTGATAACAGTATGGTATTGATATTAACCATTTCATTCATTTATTCCAATTATATTTTAATGTAACTTTTAAAATTAGTGATGTGTAGGTGCAATTTTAAGAGTTTGTATTATTTTTACTTTTTTATATAAACACAATTACTTGGAATTTATTGCTGAAAACTTTAATTAGTAGATCTGAAGTCATGGAGGTTATTATATTTTGTTTTATTTATTTGTTATTGTTTACCTGTACATAAGATATATCAACTATGTATATAAAAATCAGACCCTATGGTGTCTGGTAGCGACTTACTTGTATTATATAATATACTATAGAATGTGACTTCGGGGTTCCTTTTTATTATCAAATATTTTATTATGCATAAATCATTGTTTTAGAATAATTGCAGAAATAAAGATTTCTCACTATTAGTGGTGTTATTGATATTTATTTATTAAAATTTGAATAGCAAGCATTTAAAAATGTAGGAATATTTAATAGGATTTGTTCTTTCGTTAATATTGACATTACCTTACTACATGAATTGGGTACCTGTCATAAATTTTTTCTGAATTTATTATTAAATTAGTGAAAAACATCTGTGTTGGATAAGTTTCCGTACAGAGAGAAAATATTGCAAATGCTTGTCATTCGTCTAACGGCAGGATCTCACTGAAATCAATTGGGTGATCAATTTAGTGATGGCCAAAAACGAATACCAAGAATTAGATGTAGTTGATTCTTTCAAGTTCTCGAGATATATCGAGTATATACGAGAAGGAATCGAATTCTTTCAATCGCAAGCTACAGTTCACTGCTTTATAAGTCATGACATGAAATTTTTAGTTATTCAAATTTCAAGGAATATTTCAAAAAGATTCGATATAGGTACATTAATAGCATTGTTATGAAACAATATTGATCCAAAATCCTAGAGTCTTCAGTTTAGCCAAATTAAAATGTTTGGCAATTGAGTAAAGTAATGTGTAATTAAGGGTAGATAAATGCAAATTTGCTATTTTAAAAGTGAGACCCTTCAACAGATACTTACCAGATTTATTTTTATTGTGTTGTCAAAGAGTTTTGATATTTTTTACCACTACTTTTTGATATTTGGTTCCAAACTTTCGAATTCTCTGAAGGTTTCTTTCACAAAACTAAAAATAAAACACATTTTCAAGTTCAAATCAAATGAGGTTATGTTTTGTTTTTGCATATACCTAAACATAACATATAGAATGCATGTACACTGATATGTACTTATTAGACCAATGCAGAAGGCAAGACAAAAACAAGTTAATAACACCATGAGAATGATTGTAAACGGTAGAAAATAGTTTGCTTATAACAGAAAAGACTTTCTGAAGTAAGGGAGATGAATTTGGGGTGGAAAATATTTTTTAGGATTTCCACTGAAGCTATACTCTGTGCATCTAAGAAATGGAGTGCTCCAAAACATTATCATGCATAGTGCACGTGATGACCCAGACAAGACTGCTTGTAAAGAGTCGCAGTAAGGAATTTTTTTTAGGTGGAGTGTAGGGACACAAATTAGCAGTTTCTTCAGTCGTATCAGTACCGTATATGTACACACCACAGGCGTTAAATCGTAACTCAGCACTCCGACACTGTAACAATGAATTCCGCCTGCCGATTGCAGTTAAAGCTGATTGACCAGCTTAAGGAGGCTTGTTTATTTTACCCAATAGATACAGAAGTGCGTGGTGATCAAGCTTTGATCACGCACCTATCTTTGTTTGGGTTACTTTGTCTGTTGGATAATAATAAATAATAGTAATAATAATGATAAATGGTCTTTATTTTTATCTTGGTGGAGTTTTGCTATTCTACCACACTCAACCAAAAATGGATATAGTTTAGGCCCATTATATGGAAGATACAAAAGTAGGAAACATGGACCTTCAATCCGTGTGGCCAATCGAAAATTATTAAATTCCTGAATTTCACAATTGAATTCCCTACCACAATTCAAAATTCCCAGAACAATTCTCCACGCATGGGCGTTATTAATTTTATTGTTTGGAAACGAATGGTAAAAGTGAAATTATGCATTTTTTTATTTTCTACCATAGACTTTATGACCATTTGATGTAAGTAATTGAAATATGTACGAAAATATTCATTCAGAGAAGAATAAAATCATATAATTGAATATTATTGGGAAAGAAAGGTTTTGGCTTTTGGCTTTCTACTTTTTCATCTTTGTACAAAAAATGTGGGAAAATTCGAAATAAGAGCAAGCATTTTACACAGATATGTAGATCATGCAAAGAAGTAACTTTCAGACACAAACTGGAAGAAAAGCCCTTTCGAAACAGCTACTTTCATATAAACATTGAATAACACTGTTACACTATTGAAAACACTTTCCCAACACCTGAACAAAAATTACGATTTCTCGACGCGCGTTTCGTTAAAAAAAAATTGTGTCCTCAGGAGATCTTTATGACAGTTATAATGATCTCCTGAAGATGCTAACTTGGTTAGCGAAAAGCGCGTCGAGAGGCCGTAATTTTTGTTCTGGTGTTTTGATAGTGTTTTCAATAGATTCATTTTACGCCAGAGGTCCCAGACGAACTCTCACACTCAATAACACGAAAGAAAAATATTTTCAAAACAAATATTTTACACTGAACACTGAATTATAAAAAAAAAACACTTTTCTCTATTCAGTTTGCATTCCAAACATTATGTATTTGGAATACAAACTGAACAGAGAAGTCGTTTTTTTTTTGTATAATTCAGTGTTCATATAACAGTATTCGTTTCGAAAGTACTTGTTTCGACAGTATTTTCCTTTCCTATAATTCGATGTTCATAATACATGAAAGTAGTTGTTTCGAGAGATCTCTTCTTCCAGTTTGTGTTTGAAAGTTTCTTCCTTCCTTTGGAAGATCCACACATTTTTTTTGTATGAAACGGGAGTAGTCGAAAGACAAAAACTTTATTTCCCAAAAATATTTGGATATGCATGAGGGAACCTTAAGGCTTTATTAATTGTACAAAAAATACAACCACTTTTCATATTGCTGTAATTTTTATGTCACTCAGAGATGATACCTTAGACCTTGTCTAAAGGTGATACCAAATGCCAATCAAAGTGGCTTATTTTTCACTTCGTCAATTTTAGAACATACCACATGGACTTTAGTCAGTATGTCAGTTGTCAGTTGTCAATATGTTTGGAACGTCGAACGAATCAAGAAGCACATCATTTTAGCTTAGCATTATTTTACACTAAGATCTTCAACATGGCAGAGTCAACAGTAGAGTCGGGTTTTTTAACATTCTTTAGTAATTTGCTACAAGAAATATTCACCAGTCCTATTAATTTCACTCTCGTGTGTCTCATAGTGTTTTTAGTGTATAAAATATTCAAAAGTCGGCAAAATGATAATGAAATTCCGGCACCAACACCCCAGTTACCAAAAATGAAGAAGAGGGACTTTACTGTTGAAGAACTCAAAAAGTACGATGGTACGCAAGAGGATGGGAGAGTTTTGGTAGCGGTAAATGGAAACGTATATGACGTTACCAGAGGAAAGAGGTTCTATGGCCCAGGTAAGACAATAATCATATCATAATTTAAATTGATGATGTCATGAGCTTGATACTACATTTTGCGTTGTTGTTTTACAGGTCAAATGAGATTGAATTAATACAATTTCTTTTGGTGTATTTCAAAACTTATTTAAATAATAAAAATTAAATCCAAAAATTTTGCATCTGTTTCTAATCATATATTCAACTAAGAGATATCCCCCATTTGTAATATTTTCGTAATTATGATAATGAGGTTCAATTGGGGACCTAAATTTTGGAAAATTGGCATGATGCACCTTACTGACATTTTTAATTTTACCTCAAGTGTACATAGGTATCAGAATTAAGTTACTCTCCATTTTATTGAAGATTGAAAGTGGTTCTTATCAGTGAAAATGAAAAATGTTTTACTATGAAATTTTATAAAAAAATATTTTTTTCTAATTTCTTTGTGTTGATAGGTTCTGTGATAGAATTTCCATTATCTTGCATTAATTGTTAAAATAATGTCTCTATAACTTGAGTGAGTACATAAAATATGTAGATCATATGATAAAAATTGTTAACAATTTCATTATGAAAGGAAATTTTATGTAGAAAGTTGACATAAAATGTTTGGTGGCCACAGGTGAAATATTCACATTTTATGTAATTTTTTTATATCACAGATCAAATACTTCAAGAACTTCAACACAATAACAACTCTATTAATAATTATGAAAAGGTCACTATTTTTTATGAGGAATACCAAAAGGAAGTAAATGGACTATTGATTCTTACCTTGGAATAATCAGAATAAAATTGTATAAAAAGTTTTACCCAGAGAACAGTTATTAAAGTAACATTTACTTCGAATTTAGCACATAGGCATATATCTTTTACATTGATTTATTGAAAAAATGGATATTAAAAATAATTCAATTTTGACTCGCCTTTTGCAACATCATATACCAGAGTGAAAGAGTTATGCCATTACATAAAATTATTTTCTAAAATATGTCCATTTCAATTATACTTGGAATACCTAGTTATTGGGTCCACATATAAATATTATTTGTTGAATATTCAAACTGTTTATAATGTATTGTTAATTGTACTAATATTGTACGAATTAGTTCTCATCATCATTAAAAAGAACAGTTGGGTTCATAATGACTTAAGTACCATTGCTTATTTTCATGATTATTACTTATTGTCCAAAATGTCGCGATCTAGGTATTGTATTTCCTTTTAACAACTGGTAGAAGTGGAGAGGTGTATATTGTTAAACACCTTAGTTTTACACCTCTCTTTTTCAAGGTGGTCCATATGCTGCTTTTGGAGGAAGGGATGCTTCTAGAGGATTAGCAACATTTAATGTAACTGCATCTGGTGAAGGTTATGATGACCTAAGCGATCTAAGTACTGTGGAAATGGATTCAGTTAAAGAATGGGAATCACAGTTCAAAGGTTGGTATTATCAAGGAGAAAATTAGAAATAATTTTTTTTAGAAGAACAAGTTGATACTAGAAACCGGTTATAGAATATTATGTATCTATTTTTTATGGTGTTGAAGGTATCAACTACCAATAACATTATAGTCTGGTTCACATGTACTCGATTTAGCTCTTTTTGGTGACATTTTTCAGCCCTGTCCAAAAATGATGACCAAGGTGTCATTCGATTCGAATTTTCGCCTAGAGAGTTTAAGGAAAGGTCCGAATACGCGCCGATAAAAATTACAAAAGTTATAAACAATTAAGTGAAAAAAAAATGGGGCTTTAGTGTTTTCTTGATATCTCGGAAAATTTTCAAAATTTTGGAAATTTGAAAAAAGATTTGAAAAGATCAATGAATTTGCATAAAAAAAGTCCCGACTCCCGAAACAATAGCTGTAAAAAATTAAAAAAAAATAATTAGTTTTTAGCCATGAAAATTGAAATAATAAAAAGTAAAATATTTTGTAATGTATTTTTTATAAAATTATATTTTCAATTGTCAATAAAAAAATAGAAAATAACAATTTTTTTATTTTGGCAACGGTAATCTATTTTTTTGCCTATTAAGGATAACTTCACCAAAGAAAAAAAAAGCAAGGGTTTTAGTTTAATTATAGGGATTTTTATATCAACTTTCAATTCAGAAAAAGTTATTAATTAACAAATTTATAATTAACGTTAAAATTGGGATAAAATTGTTTGACTGCAGATTATTGTTTATTGATGTATCCCAACATTACATGAATTTTTTCATTCCTTAATATTCACATTTAATATGTTTAAATAATTTTTTTTGTTTTTATGTCAGAGTGACGAAAGGCGCGCGGAAGCCAGACTACCCGCTTTTGGCTCTATTTTCAGGGCTCTGTAAAAATTATAAATAATCGAGATACAGTTTCGGGAGTCGGAACTTTTTTTACGCAAATTCATTGATCTTTTCAAATCTTTTTTCAAATTTCCAAAATTTTGAAAATTTTCCGAGATATTAAGAAAAAACTGAAGCCCCTTTTTTTTCACTTAATTGTTTATAACTTTTGTAATTTTTATCGGTGCGTTTTCGGACCTCCCCTTAAACTTTCTAGGCAAAAATATGAATCGAATGACACCTTGGTCGTAATTTTTGGACAGGGCTGAAAAATGTTACAAAAAAAAGTACATGTGAACTAGACTATTATATCTATTCCCAGTCCCCTCAGCCATTAACATGTTCTGGAGAAAAAAGTATTTCCCAATAATTTCAACTTCAAAAGTTTTATTGCACCTTGTTGCCTTTTTTTTACTATGACTATCATTGAATTTGCATTCTTTTATTATTGAGAAAGGTGAGCTGTAAAACAGTGACCATTATGTTTTTTTAATATTAGACTGGCAGTGCCTTTTGAGGACAGTAGCTACAGACATGTCCAAACCCTTAATTCTTGACAATTTGAGTTTTCTTGGTTGAGTCAATTTGTTATATTCAGACTCTAGAGTGATTTTGATTGAATGTAGTCAATTGATAATGAAAATAAACATACATTGATGTTTGTAAACAACATATGATTCAACTTATGACCATGAAACCATCAAAAACTCGAAAAACCAGTCACAACAAAATAAACCCTGCTGTAAAAAAATCCTAATTTCGACTTCATCATTAAAATTCACCAGTTTTATGATCATGAGTTGAAGTTGTCCTTCTTGGGTCCTTTCATTTTAGATAAGTTTTTCATTTCATTTTTTTTTAGTTAATCGTTGAAGGGTTTTCAATTTAATTTTTGGTTTTTGTTTTGTTCAAGTTTGGTAATTAAAACACTATCATTACATTTTTATAAATGAAATTCAATGAATCGGCCAATACTTGATGCAACTCCATAACGTTTTCTTATTCGAAGTTCATTGTAGAAAACGCCCAAAGCAATGGAAAAAATATGAAGAGGTACCTAAAAATGAAAAAAAAACTCGAAAAACTCTACTGTACACAGGGAGACGTGAAAGTTGCTATTGTGTTCTTATTCAACTCCGTCAACCAATTAACCAATTTCCAGGGCCGTAATTTAAAAGGGAATAATACCCACAATTATAATCAAATATTACCGAAACATCCCGAAATATACAGTTGAATTAGATTTCTGAGTATCAAGTGAACGTCGATGATACAAAAACTACAACAAAAAATACAGGTCCGTATTTAAAAATTCAAAGAGGGGGGTGGCGCAAGTCAGATGACACCCTGTATAAAAGATTCAAGTGCCAATAGCAAAATGTGGACAGATTTTCAATATGTCTGCGAATAAAGAAGATATAGGCACAAAAATAATTTGGGATTTTTTGGTTTTTCCTGTATATCTCCAGAACCAAAAGAGCTATATTCGATTCCTTCACATCATTGAACAGGTATCTTAAATACGCAACTTTGCCACAATTTACCCAACACTCTATCTTTTATCTTTACGAGATCCCCATGTACAGAAACGAATTTGAAGGATTTAAAGCTTTATAACTTCTATTTATTATATGCGAGCGCTTTCAACGCTATCATCTTCAAGGCAGTTTGAGTAGAGCCTTGAAGATGATAGCACGACCAGCTGTTGTCTCATTTGCGTTCACGCAGTTATTTTCATCAAGTACTTTATTCGGTTATTCACATTTTGTTTTCAATCGAGGACCGCCTGCCCGGTACTGACGATGTCCAATAGGCTGAAACAGATGTCTACCAGCTGTCTCAAAAAATGTGAATTTCTTTGGAGCTGTTGTCATACATCAGATTTCGTTTCGCATATTCATTCATTGAATACAGAAGATTGCGTTTCACTTGGGGGCCCTCAATTTTCTTCAGACATTCAGATTACAAATATTATTCTTTTTTTATTTATTATCTCAATTCAAATCATGAAGGTTTCGTAGAAATAATAACGAAAGGATCATTTTGTATTGTTTGCAGGTGCCTGCATGCACTTCGGCAAATTCGGAATCAACTATTGTGACACCCAATTCTTATAATTATCGAAATTCATCTTGTTCTGATGATCACCTGTATTACAATTTGATTTCTATCTAAACTGAGCATTAGGCACTAACTTAATTTCACCACCTGCATGTATTATGATCAGACATTGCCCTTTACTAATAGGTTCTTTTGGACCTTCCATGGTATAATCACTCCAATTTTGGTGTATAAATAAAACTAGGAGCTTCACAGAATATTGAAATTTCCCAGTTTTAATGAAAAATTTTTCATTTTTTTGTTTATTTGTTGTATGATTAATTTTTCAAGAAGGGTAACTACTACTTTAAGCCTTCTTGATTTGAATATTCTGAAGAAATGCTTCAATTACTAATTCTACTATCTGTTTTGGATTGAAAAAATTTGAGAAATCAGTCTACTTCAATAAATTTTATTCATTGACCGTCCAGTGATCCTTTTATCAAAAAAATCATTGAATAACACTTCATATGCATATAAAATAAGAAGATTAAGTATTCAAATGAGGGATAGACGATTTTTTTGAATAAAACATGTGAAATATCAGTAATCACCGTTTTATATTTGAATTTCAAATAAGGTAGACGATATAACAACAATTTTGATTTATAGGAAGAAATACCATTCTTGAATCAATAAAATGTACTACGTTGATGTACTTATTTGAACAATATATGTAGAGTTTAGAAATAATCAGTATGTCTAATTTGCAAGTCCCACCGAAAAAAAGGACAATTTTCATAAATGAATAATTTTCAACTATCCAATGTCTCTGTTAATGAGTCAAGAGTATTGGAATGATTACTTTGAAAACACAATTTTTGGAAATCACAAGAGAAAAATATTTGAAAAAAATGTTAATTTCAAAGAAATGGTGAAAGCTCTATAATTGTTCAGGTAACTTGGTGAAAGTTCACAGACAAAGATATATTCTGAGAAACCCAATTGACAAAAATCAGTCAAAAACATTTTATGGGCAGTATTGTTACATTTCATGGGTTGTCACTTGTTGAGAAAATTGCTTTTATTCCATAATATTTCACCAAATCTGTTTGCAATTTGTGTGCCAGTAAACAAGTAATTGTCATATTTCACTTTAACTTCTATTGTTAACTGTACTCCCTTACTCATTGCCTGTCATGCCTTTAAGCCACCTGATGCTTTCATTATTCTATTGTCCCTTTGTGTATCCTATGAACCTTTGTAGAAGGAAATTTACTGTCTCTAGGGAGAAATTCTAGGAACCCAATGATATGCATAAAAGGTAGGTTAGAGAATTCTAATCCTAAAGAGTCATGTTTGGGATAATTTGAAACACCATGGAATAGAAGTACTGTTTCTAGACACTAAAGAAAATTAAATTATTTTTTTTGTAACTATTATTGATCACAATACATTGTCATAGGTCAGGATTTTCACAATGCGAGAAATCACATAATTTTGAAATATAAAGGACAGTAACAAAAAGATAATAGTCAAAATGATTTCAATTCGAATTCACTTCAAATTCAATTGGATAAAACAAATGACATTCTGATGAAACCATAATGATGAGGTACATATTGGACATTAATTTTTTGGGTCTCTTTCCATACAAAGAATTTTTAGGAATTCAATTCAAAATTCTTATGATCTGTAGTTTAAAATTAAATTTTCAGCTCATGTTGTCTTGAATTTAACTTAATGAAAAAAATGTATATTCATTCTTGTCTTCATCTAAGGAATCATTAAATTCGGTTTTGCAAATTGAGATGATAGTCACCAGGGGAAAAACTGCTACTGTGTACCCTTTTAATTTGTGTCAAGAGTGCTTAGCTTGTGGAAGAATAATGATGATCGCAGAAATGGTAACATCCGAAAAAAAAATTATACTTTGAAAATATAATGAAGGGCATTGTTGGTAATTTTTTTCATATTCAAGATTGATGTTATGGCTTGTAACATCGACTTTGTTCATGGCTATCTAGCTTCCTCAAAGAAAATACCTTACATAGCCATCAATAGTTATCTCGGATACCTTAACCATGTTACCCAGAGATACATATTTTTTCAACTCTCCATCATACGTTGGTCTATTGGAAAATAACACAAATCCAAAATTGTTATTGCTGAACATATCATACTTTATGCTTCCAATGCATATTCTTGCCAACAACATGCGGTTTTGTATTTTGATGGAAGATCTGTAAAAAAATCGGCTATATGTGATAAAAAGTAACGCTACAAAAACTCGGGTACCAGTTTTCTCTAAGAAGGTGAATATGTTGTAACCAGACATTATAATGTCAGGACACAGAGTTCTGGTAGCTGCCTTGATTATTTTGTTGACTGCCAATTTGGATATCAATATGCTTTGTCATAATTACTTTACCAGAATAGCGAAGCCCCAGAAATATGTAACACTATTTTGAACTAGAAAGTTGTGCCCAAATCATCAATATTTAATGCTTAATAAAGCCTTTGGAATATAGTTCTCACATGTGGAGCTCCGCCCCTTATCATTTCCCCAGGCTGAAAAAAGCCATCCCCATGATTGGAAACCTATGCATTACAAGCAACTTCGACAACCTGGAACATTGAAGAAAGATCGAAGAGTTGTTTTTTTTCTGGCTCAACCCATTTGATTTCACAAAAAATGATAAATGTGACAAGTACGCCACACCTTTCAGAAACTCGTGTATCATTTGGAGAACAGCACACTTGTGGAATCATTTTTCCAAGACAGTTTTTCCAAATGAATATAATCTACATCTACAGCGAACCTTTTTTAAATAATTATACTATAATTTTTCTGATTACAAACTACACAAGGATTTTTAACATGGCTTTCTGAAAGTTTCTAAGGCTTTGTAGGAAGGTGATCTGGCATTTGGAATATTTCTAGATTTTTTCAAGGCTTTCGACTGACTGGATCACTCTTTGCTGTTTGAAAAGTAAACTCGATATAAAGTGAGGAAAAATGCACTATTGTGCGTAAAGTCGAACCTTGAAGGACGGCAACTGAGAGAAAGGGAAGTCTGACCATCTTTTCAGAAGTTGTCAAGATAAAGCTAAGTATTCCTCAAGGCAGCATCCTTGGCCCGCGTCAAGATGAAGCTAAGTATTCTTCAAGGCAGCATCCTTGGCCTGCTACATTTCATCATTTTTATTAATATAATTTTCAAATAATATGTGTAACATTACTGATGTTGAACATTTCTTTTTTAACGGACAAATAATGGGTGCCTAAATGAATGATATTGAATCATTCTTGTGGGTCTTGCAAAAATGGTACAGAAATAATAAATTAGTTTTGATTCACAATTAAACACTTATTTTATATACATATAACATATACAGATATAACTTTACAGAGAAGAATACAGTCCCAAATCTTTTTTTGGAAAGCTGTCTGTGTGTCTCCAGTTAAGTAGGTAGTAAAATGGATAATTATTCATGATTCTGTAATAGCTACCTTTGAACTCAAGTTCTGTTTCATAAATTCAAATGAACTTGAACTTTGTTAACAATCAACGTAAGCTATAAATAGTTTCTGTACTATTGGACAGTTTCACACGAGTGTGACGTTTAATGTTTGTGTTTGCTGCTTGTGTCTGAACAAACCAGTTGAATTCCATTTCAAATATTTGAAATTGAAACTAGTGTTATTTTGAAAATGTAAACTACATGTTATAGTATTGACTGATATCTGAAAGGTTGAATATTTCATCAAAATGGTCATGACGATTACAAAATGTAATTTAAGTTGAACATTATTGCACCTAGTTATGAATAATCAATGGAGTTTTTTTTTAAAGACAGACCACTATAAAACATTTTTATGTCTTAAAATTTGTTTTTTATGTCTTAACATTTACAATTAATTCGGAGCAGTGGTGTATATAGAATCTCGTTTTGTGAGGACATCTTTCAGTACGTAATACTATAAATTGAATTTTTTATATTATACAGGGCTATTCAAATTCGACTCTTGAATGATACAAAAAAATGATCCTCGATTTTTTGTTTTTGAAGATGAAGTAAGATTTCAAAAATTAATTTTTTGTCTTTTTTTTTATTTGCAGTTGTTAAAAAAAATTTCAACATAAACTTTGTGTAGGGTAACAGAATACGTTTATAGAATTTTTATATAGGGTGACTTCTGACTTGAAAATTTCCAACACAAAGTTGTATTTTTTGTAGAAGTTTTTTAACTGTGAATGTTTAGGTAATATGAAATTGAATTCTATTCAATATTTGAATACACGAGGCATCAAATAACCTAAATGAGTTGGTATCCTAATCCTCTATTCCCAGTAAGGTTTTTTACGCAATACATTTGTCAGAGGTTTGAGGAACACCTGAATTTGTTAGTCACTCAGGTGTTGTTACTTTACTTATGCTATCTCCTTTCTGTTTATTTTAAAATAATGAAATATTTACACATCATCATTGATAATGGTAAATGGATAATGTCTGTTAACAACTGATAAAATGAGAAGATTAATAATACTCTTGAAACTTTCTAGATATACCCTACAATGCTTCAATTTTCATTCTAATATTTAATTCCTAATTCTGTCAACAGGATAAGGATTTAGGTTTGGAAAGTTTATTGAGAATTGTCTGTAAACAATGTGTCTTTCAACAATAAAATTCAGATCTTATTAGGTTAATTTCAAAGGTTTTCAAATGTAACCAAATTTATGCTGTTACATAATTAAGTTTTTTCAAAAACTACACCTCACGATTTGTGTGTGTACATAATTATGTCTTTCAATTCAATTCAGTTTAACATATTTTGAAAAAAAAACAAAACAATGAAATACAGTCAAATATGGAAATTGGTTTCAGAAAGTACATTTTAAAAACGAATTCAAGGGTAATAGGAAAAAAATGCAAATTATGAAATTCCACTAATTAGATTTTTTTCAATTGATATTTAAATTTTGTAATGGAATAGTGCTTCTTCATTTTGTCTGGAATTCAGTTATATATAATCATCCCATCCTGATATATCGACTTATTTCCAAGTCTTGTTTATATTTTTATTTTTGGCAGTAATTTTGTTTGTCTTGTGGCATGATTATGAATATGTCCAATTCAAATAAAATTCAGTTTATTTGTATCATTTCAACATAATGAATGAAACAGCTAATTTTTGAGTTTATAGAGTGAATTTAAGTCTAATAAATAGTGTCCTTTATATAAGTTTAATGTTGCTCGGGAATATGGTAATTTATTAATGCTTCTGATTATTTTGTTTCATAAGGTTTTTAGAGGTTGGATAATAGATTTACTTGCTGTTCCCCAAACAGAAATGAGAGTGCAAATGTGAATAAATGAGACTAAAATAAATATATATATAATTTTTTATTTTATGGGTATACATTTTCTCATCTTGTAAAAAATTCCAGTAGGAGATATCTTCTTTCTAATATTTTCAATATGTTTATTCATGATAATTTCTCATCAATGTTTAAACCTAAAAATTTTGTTGTTTCTGTGTATTTAATAGAATTATGATTTAGCATAATCAAATTATTTGAAATTGGGCTTCAATTTATGTTCATTAAGCTAAATGAGAATTTTATGCAAATCATTTTTAATTTTTTTGGGTGATGACATCACCCAAAGACGATAGTGGATACTAACAATCGAAATGTCGTGAAGTAACTTGGTTTGAAATCTTTTTAATTTTTATTTCATTTTTATTCGTTCAGTTTCTTATTTTTTGCTTATTTTCATTTTATTATATTTACTGCTCAATATATTTGTTATTCTTTAGCTATTCATTTTAATTTGATTTGTTCTTTCAGAGATTTCAAATAACATATATCACATGAGACAATGGAAGTCTGAACTAGTAGAATGCATATTGTCTTCTATTAAGCAAATAATTTCAAAACCACTAAACTCTACGTTTCAGTTACGGTATATTTTTCAGGCCTATTTAAAACTTGAGATGAATAATCAAGTCTGATGAAGCTATTATATAGTGATACACATATTGTGGCTTTGAAAATTAAAGTGTCGAATATGTTCATTATAGATTTTCATCAAGTATCAGTGAAATAAATAAAAATTGGTGACATTACCGTCCAATATAAATTACTGCTGTTTGTATTTTCAAATAACGTGTCACTACATTGTCAATTACATCTTGATGACGTGATACATTTTTTTTTTATGTTCATGATACATATTTTCCTAGGCACTGCAAATTTATTATGCATTGATTATTTTCACAGAAAAATATGATTTCATTGGAAGACTACTTAAACCTGATGAACAACCTACCAATTATTCAGATGAAGAAGATGAACCATCAGCTGCTGGTGATAAATCCAAAGACGATTGAAATAAATCGTTTGTAAAAAAATTACTTTCAAGATAAAAGGCTGAAGCGGGATTTAATAATCCGTTGTTAATAAATTCGGCATGATGTCATCATGTTCTACTAACACTGTTCGACTAATATAATAAATTTCGGTTAATGGCAACAACACACGTTTTTTAAATACTTTTTTCTCACTAAAATTGGCGTTTGAAGCATTTTATATGATGAAAAATGTCAGTTTTTTTTTGAGGATTGAGATGATGATTTTTTTAGTTTAATTTGATGACATCTTTCCACTAAAAAATGCACTTGATTTCTTATACATGTGAAAATAACGTTGACAGTTTCTTACGTTTATTCTTACGTTTACGATACATTAAGAATATATATTGAGAAATTTTTTAAGTTCTTCCATACTTCCTAAGAATGACGATATCAGGAATCGAACTGCAAATGTTATGAAACGAAATACTTTCGTTTAAATGTTGTTTAACAGCTACATGTTTATCGATTATATGATTTTATTACTTGCTTGTAACATTCTTCAACTACTTATGATTACAAGTTGTAATTTTTATCTCACCAGCTTAATAAATTATGAACTTTTGATGCCAGTACCATTGAAAAGCATTTTTCATCTAATTTTTTTTCGCACGTCTCGCAAATATAGTTTCACTATTTTAACATTTGTTCATGTCAATTTCTGTATCAGGATTATTTTCTGTGAATTATATAAAAAAGTGAGATTTAAGAATTTTAAATGAACAGCCTGTTGGGTTTTAAGATATTTTATATTTTTTTAGTGTTTTTCTTAAATTTCTGTGATACATCTAGAGAGACATATTTCAGACTTACTTGCATAAAAATTCCAAATTATGAATTTTTCATGATTAGTTTATACTTAGAATTGGGTGTGGTTCTATACTCTGGTGTATTTGTATAATTATATTTTTTGTGAAAATTGTTTTGGATATTTCATTTTCTTTTAGTCTAATGATATATGAATATATTTTGAAACAGCATATAATTAAATGTTTGAAACACAAGGCAAATGTATTTTTCTTTGGGGATTGCGCAGGCTTCAATTGTGGGTGATTTGAAATTTTCAGAAGCAAAGACTTACTTTGGTACCATGAAACAATGCTTCATGACGCCCAGAATCAAATTTTCAAAAAAATTGTAAAAACTAGCTTGTTGAATGTGATAATTGAACAATGCATTTACTGGAAATTTTATTTATAAATCAAACTAGGGGTATCTTCAGGAATTGAAATCTTCAATGAAAATAAAGCCCTTTAAAGTGATTGTGTCATTTTAATATTTATTCTCAGCTCTTAGAAAGTGTAAAATTTATAATTTTTTAGGGCAAGGTTATTTGATACCTTATTGAAATTAGATTTTTTTAGTTAAGAGTGGTAGTTATCACTTCTCATGTGGTTTCGATGACCTTGGAACATCATTTGCAACTTTTTGATTGCTTAAATTGGATATGGGTAGAAAATACGTGTTTGATATAATTTCAATGATTTTTTTCGTTGAATTAGTATGAATAAAATAAAGTTGAAAGCGCTAGTTTAAAAAAAATATTTGGAAAAATCGAATGAATTCTGATTTTTTACCCAGTCTTCTTTTTAAACTTTGCTAGGTATGTAATGAATATTGATAGATTTTTTTAACTTTGGAAAATGTATGAATATAATAACCCACTAAACACTGAAACTTGATACCCTCAACTACAATTGTCTGGCCCTTGCAAATAAGTGCTTGTAACACAAATTCACATCTTTGCAACGCAAATTCAACTATGTTAATTTTGTGAAAACTTACATTTAAACAGATATCTGGTAGTTTTACTGATAATTGCAAAGTTAAGCTTTAGGAAATTGCAGAAATGTTCTTATCACATTTAAATATTTCCTTTAAAATTTCTTAGATTCATCCTAACTTCATCGTAATTTTGCTCATCAAATCTTTCAGTAATCATAATTCTGACGTCACTCATCGCCCAATTGTTGACTGTTGAGGTTTGAAAGAATTTTTGGCCTCACTAACTATTTCTATGTTTAAAGCTTCGATCTCTTTCAATCATGAATATTGAATTTCACAGAAATTACATACTTCATTTTGGTTATCAGTAAAATAAGCACTAACTTCCTTCATAATATTACGAATTTTTGTCACTGGAAGAGAAATTCCGTTCTTGACACGATGACAGTTTGTATTCAATCATCCTATGATTGTTCATCATTGTAAAAACATCAGAATTATTTGATGTAATTGGCCGACACCTGGAAATCCAAGATAACATTTCAAGTGACATTTCATCTTGAGTGCCCTGTGTGGAGATTTTGTGATATTAGCAGAGCATTTGACTGCTTGGATCATGATATTTTGATAAATCATCATTATGGTGTAAAATATAATGCACTGCCATGGATTACAAGCTTTCTACAAAATCGTGAACAGTATGTATGTTTGAGAAATGAGCAATGTAATGAGTTGAGGGTTACGAATTCTACTTCAGCTGACAATCAACAAAGGTATTCTACAGGGTTCTATTTTGGGCACAGTGTTTTCTCTGTTATATATTAATAATGAGAAAACTATGTGAAAATGTTCATGTTACAATGTATGCAAATGATATATCCACTTTTGTGTTGGATCATTTTGATGAAACGCTAACACGCTGTAATGAACTAATCTGATTTTTGGCAACATGGACATATGGCAACTCACTATTGTTCAATGTAGATAAAGACACAATATCTTGGTTTTCAAAATCGTAAAAATATGTACAAAACTCGATCTGACTGTAAATGATATACAAGTTTCCACCCATGTTGAATTTTCAGGAATGTGCATTGATGAACATCTAGATTGGAAAGTACTTTGTTAGAGTTTGATATCAGCGCTTCATTTGAATTGATATCTACTGATAAATTTGAGAACGGTATTTACACATTCTCAATGGCTGATGGTGCCTTACACATAAGTGGAGAGTTATATGTGTTATAGTGTTTGTTTCTGGGGATGGTCATTCACGTCTCGGGAAAATTACACTGCCCCAAAAAAAATCGGATGCATCATGAATGTGCTATTAGTGAGAGCTGTGAAAGTTTTTTCAGCAAATATGAAGTCTTATCACTTCTATACTTATGTATTTCTGAATTGTGTTTTTATATTTTCATCAAGTGAATACCCGTGCTCAAAATCACTTTCATTTACCAGTCTGTAAAAATAGAGTACATTCTGCTCTTCTACTAATAATGGCTTACATGCATTCAATAAATTACCAAATAAATTAAAAAATTGTTTTGTCATTGATTTTCAAAAAGCAACTTAATAAATTTCTTCTTACAAGTTGTTTTTATTCAATGATGAAGTTTTTTCAAAATATGTCTCATAAGAATATTGTTACCAATATTTCTAATATGTTTAGAATTCTTAACGGTGAGTCTTTGTATTCCATAGTTCTGAATGTGAAATTGTTTGATCTTCATTGTAAGTTTTTTCTCAACCATTCCAATTCAAAATTTTGTCTTTCGAGAGATAAATTATTATTATTTCCACTGAACAGTTTACAAAACCATAACACGTTTACTTCATGTTCATAGTACAAAAAAAAAAAATGAAAGCAGAATTGCATCTTCCGGTATTTTAACGGTATTTTAATGGCATCCGAAATGATGCTACTGAGGAGATTGTCCTAAAAATTTCACACATTTAGAAGGCTGTTACGGACCTTTTCAATGGGTAGGATTGGTCTTCAATTGAAAAGCGAGTGCATACTACACACTCAGCCTGTCTCTCACAAAATCATAGGTTTTCTGGTGGGCGTTTTTGTTGTATTTGTAATATTTGACAGTTATAGTTCTCAATTTGAAAATACTGGAACTCGTGTCAGTCAGTGACTGCCTTTAAAATACAATTGACAATACAACTGAATGACAAGTTCTTTTTTATAACTTGATCTTTGAAAAAAAACCAACGTAATTGAGATTGTTTATGAAAATGTATATAACAATGAAATAATAAACATATTTTGCAACAAAGCATATAAAACCAGGGCATTTGCCAGATAAAAATAAAAATGTACAATTCTTTTTCATATAACATTATTTCGAACCCTTTAGGATGTAAAATACATTTACAAAGAAAATAATCACAATTTAGTGGAACTCTAAGCAAATGTTCATGGAATTCTTACCCCACATATGGACAAAAATGTCTGCCTATTCCTAAGAGATATAACAGGTACAAGTGTATAACTTAATTGTATGTCTTTAGTGAAATTTTCAAAATATTCGGAAAATAAGGTGGAATCCATATTTTTTGAAACAGAATAGAAAATGTTCAAGTTGATCACGGATGTTGTGTCATGCTCATGGTCTTGTCTCAGTTTCTGTATTGTATAATCCATCGCTTCCTTGAAAACTTCACTATTGAAAGGGGAGTCTTCCTCGGGATGACCTATACGACAAAGTATTGCTGATACGTTATTCTCATGATTCCAACGTCTGTATATTGAAATTGTATACTTTTCGATGCATTTTCCCCTTTCTTCATCTGAAACGGAAATATAATAAATTGAAGATGAATATAAAGGAGGTCCCACTGGAAACCGCCTCAATTTGTATATGGAAACAGACAAAGACGATATTGGTAAAATACAAGATGGCGGCACTTACGGTTAAACTAAAAGTGACAATTTGCATACTTCAAGTGAAATACTATATGCTTGGATTCTACAATGATTTAACATATCATATCCTATACATGTTTTACTATTTGGGAGCTGTCTGACTTGGCCATTTCTTTCCTAGTCTCTAGAAAACACTGTTTCCCCTCCCATCTTTTCATGACGCCCATTCCAACAATTTTGTTGGAATGGGCCATATTTTGTTCAAGTGTTCTCTAAATGAAAAGTTTTCAGTGAGTAGCCGTGTAATTATTCTGAGCTAATAATTGTTGTGCTGAAGCAGTTCTTCAGTTTCTTTTTCGGATGGTACAATTTTCCATATTCATTCCCAGGTTTCTTTATATTTCTTGCTGACCCATTTCTTGATCTGTTCCCATACTATAGATTTTGAGACCCTCACAGTTCTTCGCCTATGTTTCCGGAATGTCCACGTACCTAGTCAATCTATTCCGATCCACCATTTTCTTCAAATCATCATCTCAATATATCACTTTTGGATTCATCAATGTCCCAAGAGCAGCCTGGCTGTCTGTAATAATATTGATCCACTCATTTCCTTGAGATCTCAAATCAATATTCCTTATCAGGTGTTTCTGCCTAGCATATATTCGGATGTCTTCATTAACCGACTTTTCACGATTTGTGACTTTAATGAGAGAAAGTATATTTCGGTGTAATGTGGTCTGTGAACACATTTAATGTTCAATCCCTGATGTATGTAGGTTGTTTTGTCACTGTCTATCAAACCGAAGAATATACTTTGATATTCAGGTTTTCATATCAAAATAACTTTTCCTATAGAAAAAATAGATTGAAGATTACTAGTGCTTAATTTCTTTGTTATATTTTAATGTTATACAGTGTTATCAGTAAAGTCTATATCATAATTTGAAATGCATAGTCATATGTAATGTTTCTTGGATTATTAAATTCATTCATTCATTAGTATTATTCATCAAATTTGAATTTTTTTGTAAATTGCACCATCATTGCACAATAAAACTCAACACCATCTACATGAAACTTCTTAGAAAAGACACTTTAGGTACATTTATTTCTAGTTTTTTCTCGGAAACTACTATATCAAATTACAGAAATTGGGACAAATTGAAAAGAGAAATCAATAACCTTTCAAATGAGATATCCCTTGACCCCTGATTCTATTAAAATTTGAGAGTTGAATTTCAACTAGTAGGGGATTGGAAGTCACAAAGTTGATAATTGGCATAAACTCCATTTATGAGAAATTGGCCTTGATTAGTTCTCACTGGCTCACCCTATATTATGCAGGGCTATACATTATAAAGAGCTAGGAGTGACAGATGTACTACTAAATGCCATTTACCTGGAAGAATTTCATATATTTTGAAATAATGTAGACTGAGTAGAACATCATTTTTCGTCATTTTTAAGAAGAGGCTACTCATAAACTGCAAAATTCAAAAATACTAATCACTGAACGATCGAAAATACTGTAATTCAAATCATAAATTATTGCTTATTATACCAAAGCCCCAAAAAAGTAATAATAAATATTGGATAACGAAAGATATCAACCTATATTAAAAAAAGCAGTAAAATAGGTTCATTTTATTAACACAGAAGATGCAGTGAAATCTATTTCTCCTAATTTTTACTTACAGTCAAATTGATTGTTATATTTATGAGCCCAAACATGCCATTCTACAGCAGCACTCTTTGGCAAACCAGTTACTACCACATATTCAACTATTGCATTGTTAGTTTTTTCTTCCCATAATTTCCTAGCAGGTTCTACGAAGGCGACATTAGAAACATAACAAATACCCTGCAAAAATCTATTCTTATTATCAGTGAAAGATCAAACACATTTTCTTCATACAAAGTTACTTTAATCTTGGTACCGATTCTTTTAGAATTCATTAGATTTTGCTCCAATACTGACCTGTACTACATTACTCAAGTTAAAATTTGAATCCACAGCCTTTAGCAGTCTTTCAAGATGTCTCAAACCCAATCGACATTCAGCCTTTATTCCTCCTTTGACCAGTTCCATGCTACCAGGTACTAATCCAATCTGTCCCGCTAAAATTGAGTAAAAATCAAAATCACATTCAACTACAAAATGGATAATAGGGCAGAGTATGAAGAAAAATATTTTAAATATACTGGATCTCCCAATAGTGCATATTTGCCTAATATATCGATAATACTGATATACGGTGTGACCCATTAAAAGGATTGTATATGTACATAGTTCTTTTCTATCCGACCACAACTATCAAACATGTTCTTAATGTAAGATATCACGAGTTGAATACTATGAAAAACAATTGTAAAAAAATTATGTAAATATTGTTTTAGTATGACCCTTCTTTTCATTTAAGAAAAATACGGATAATTAAACATTTAATAAAAGTCCAAGATGAGAAAATGTTTTGAACACGGTAGTAGACATTTAAGAGTGATTATTGTAGTTCGTTTTATTTGACATTTAAAGTACTGAATAGGTATTTCTTTAATTTCGAAAAACACCAATTATCGGAAAACTGTTAGAAATAACATATAACATGGGAATTTGGAAACACTTATAGTATGTGAACGACAATAAAAAAAGTTAATATTTGACAATATATCAATGATATCAAAAACATAGTTGAAAGTTTTTAATATATTTTCTTTAGATTCTAATATTCTAGTACTTATGGCGTCTGGCTTGCATACCATGAAATCATGAACTTCGCTTTTGGAAATAATTCTAGATCTTACCTAGTTGAATGAAGTTCCTTACTCTTACAGTCTGACTATATGGGCCAATATTTGCAGGAGCCCAATGGGATCTACTCTGAACATGCATGGTTTGTCTGAAATTATTCAATTAGGTAGAAACAACATGAAGGTTTGAACTGTAGGGGATACTTAAAACTGAATATAACTTTAATTGACTTATAGTTCGCAAAAATAAACAGAATTTGAATACTTGTCAAACATAAGTGAATGATCTAGTCGTAAGTCATCAAAGTCTTGATTTTTTTGCTGTGATGAATTAGAAATAAGACGGTCGTTTAAAAAAAAATAATATGTGCCATATATACCTGTTTTTATTAATGTTTCTCTTGTATGTAATTTTAGGTGTTTACTCACTCTGTGTATTGTAAAATCATATATTTTATGTACCATGACATTGACTGTATACATATAATCGGGTATAAACCTGTTTGGAATGCAGTTTAAATAAAATCTATCTATCTATAAAAACCACGACTTGTCATTCAAAGCATTTTCATTCAAAAAACTATTAAAACCAAAGGCAATTTCAAAACCAAAACTAGCCGGAGTCAGAAACAACATTTTTATACAGTTTTACGTATTTCAAATATTTCTTCAGTTTTATTTGGAAAATCTAAAAATCATTTCTGGTTTTTCAATAATGTGTGTCCTAGTAATAAAAAGACAACTTTTTTTGTCTTAGAACTTATTAGAGCGTGGAAAAACATCTACTAGAAAAAACATAAGAAAAAAAAAACTTTTTGAAAGAGAAGCCTAGAGTTTATGCTATTTCATAAACACGATAATGGCATACTTATGTACTATGTATTTATACATTAACTTACACATGGACAGTTTTTGTATAAAGTAAAGTAGGTTGAAAATAAAATATTTTTGGAAAAAAGATACAAACTTCTTCCAAAATTGAAGTTTGTATTGTACTGTAGTTAAGGCCAAACATTTTTTTCCGAAATTATGTTTCCTCTTGACAGATGTCCACTTAACAATTTTCAAAACCGCGATACGTGTTTCCCTATAGCATATCATCTTCAGACGTCACAATACTGACTAAACACATTCTGTGTTATGCTTTTATAGTAATTTGAATCCTAATGACTATTACTATCTGACATAGAAATATTTACCTTTCTAGGAACAATTCATTAAACTGGAGAATAATGAATACAAGTTTTAACCGAAATCTTATTTTATCTACTTGCAAACTAAAGTCAATAAAGGAGAACAATTCAAAATTTGATCATTGGGCAATAATCCCAAATTTTTATATCCAATGATTTCTAAACATTCCAAAAGGTTGAGTGTTGAACCCTTCTCTTCCAAATGCAATACGTATAATCGTGATTGAACTCCTACCCTTCTTGTGTTCATTATTCTCCAGTTTAATAAGTTGTTTCTGGAAAGGTAAATATTTTATGCAGTAATAGTCGTTAGAATTCAAATTACTATAAAAACATGACAAAAAATTTGTTTAGTCAATATTGATAATATTGTGAAGCGAAACACGCGTCGAGATTTTTATAACTGTCAAATGGAAATCTCACATGAAAGTGCATTTTTGAATACGTTCTAATGGATTTTCATCAAGTACCGATCAGTTCTATAATTTTTTTATGAAATAATGTAAAATACACATTTATACATCAGAACACATAATATTACTGTGGTGGAGGCAGAAACTCTCCAAAAATAAAGAAACAAATGTTTCTGATGAAAATTATTCATATTTTGAATTATATTCTGTTTTAGTAAATTAAATAAATATTAATAACAACTTGAAATTTTACCTTTCAATGGGCTCATCACCCGCGGAATCAGCTGGCTGCTTCCACGATACAACCTCCATTCTCAAAGGACAATCTTGGCTGAATGGAACCTGAACGCATGCCCTAGTTGGAGGATTGACAAAATCGAAAGTTTCCACGTAGAGCTCATTCAGGGCCGCATACCGAGACATGTCGTTTACAAACATTGTTACCGAACATATATCTTTCACAGAATGGTTATGAAGAGAAAGTTCAGCTGAAAATTAAAGAATCGGGTACATATTATTGATATGAAAGAAACTTTTTTGATAAGTTTATATTCGTCAATGAAAAATTTCTTGTATTAGGTCGTTGAAAAAGTTTTTGAATACAGATATGGCAACTCTAACAACATATAAACAGTGTTTTAATTTTATGAAAAAAATTTCAAAAATGGTTTGGTATAGCTTTAGTTTCTCTCCAATGTAATGACATCTTTGTATGGAGAGATGTCATCGTCTTTTTCTACTCGGACATATCCTTAAGGACAGTTGTGACTAAGTTTATTCACCATTAACGACCTTTACAAAAACAAAATACAGTTTTTATACTAGTCAACACCAAAACAACAAATTTTTACTAAAAAATACCTATATTACTACATCAGGACATGATAGTTTGCAATATACACAGACAATTAAATAAGACATTTAAATGACTAAGATATATAAGATATAAAAATTTCAGTTTTTCGTTTTTTTTTCATATATTGATTAATATAATAACAGTACATTGGTCATTTACACAATAACTCTGACATCTTCATAATATTTCAACTACACCTCACGACTGATCTCCACAAACTTTATTTGAAAAATATATCACATGTTTCGCTAGAACAGCAGCTTTTTCAAGTTCTTGATTGATATAAAAATGATGGAAATGAAGCATTTGAGAGAAATTGAAGATATATAATTTATACTCCAATCGATTATTTATTTGAAGACATGACTCCGAAGAAAAATTTTCAGAAAACAGTTGCAGGTTGTGTCATTTTGATTGGTTTCAAGTAGTTCCTTTCACTCACTCTATTCTTCAGGAGGCAGTAGAGTTTTATTTTTCCATTTTTGATAGAAACAAACCGATTTGTATACTGTTTTCAGAAATATAACATATTGACAATCCTGAATAAACCCACAAGGTAGGTGACAGGGATTTAAGTCAGTTATTGTAAATACCTGCACCTTTGTTTGCAGATAAATAAAATGTATGTTTGTTTGCAAATGGTCTAACAATAATTTATATCAATCCTGCAGAGTACCTGCCTGCACAGTTGAATTTTAAGTTCAATTCATTGTTTCTTGAAGCTTATGTGTATGAAATGTTCCTATCAACCTAAAAAGTGGTTGTAGCATCATATCCAGAGAAATAAATAAATGAATAAGATATGATTTGTTATAATATTAGGATATTTCATTGATATTGTTGAAGGTTTTGCAATGGTTTTCAGATCTAAATTTATGCTCCTCAGTGTTTTTGAATTTTTGCGGCTCACCCTGTATTTATCTGTAATGATAAAAGTGACCCACAAGTTGAAAAATTTGTAGTTGTTATATGAAGTCAGACTCAGATTAAAATGCATCTTCAATTCCACAAAACCAAATTCCTTCACCAATTGAATAACTGCTTCATTCATTTCTATGATACATTTGATCACTTAAAATGATCATGAATCAATTAATTCAACAATCAAATAATATGTTGATAAGAGCACTTCCAAAACTGCAAATTATTCATCATGAAAAAATAAACGAACTCCTATACAACAGATCTTGTATATATCTTCTAACAATGCATACCTACACTTTAAAATACTCATGGCTTCATTCATTGCTTCATAAGCATCTGAAGAAGTTCCCTGGATACCTCCAATCCATAACCATCCATTTCTACTTCTAATAGAGAGCGCTTTCTGGATGATATTCTCCGGAAAATAAGTGATGCTATTGATTGATGCGTCACCAGAACTAGTCTGTAGATCATCTGCAACCGTGAGAAAATCTACTTGTTAGTTGAAAAAACGAGAGAATAAACACACCATCAAGCTATTTATTGATGTTATTACTCTTTCGATAACTTACCTATATCATCTTCTGTAATATCAAATGGCCCCTGCCCTTGGTTGGTTACATATCCATCACTATCTTTCAACGGCAAACCTTCTAAACGACCCTGCAAATCTAGGGCCGGCAATTTAAGTTCTAATTCTAGTTTCTCAAAAACAAGATATCCCACAGGTGCAATGGGATCATTAGAATGTACTACAACTTTCGATTCTTTGCTAAAATCAAAGTGGTGGCTTTTAAAGTTAGTTCTCGAAATAATTCAAAAACTCACATTACTATTCGACTCTTGAACAACGGACAGTCCAAGGTCAATGTTTCATATTCTCCCCCCTCTCCGCAAATATTAAGGCCATATTTTTCATGCATTGCTAACAAATGAGGTTGCATTAAGCTTAGAGATCTTCCCAGGTGTTTTGTTTCTAAACCTAGCGCGGCTACTTTAATTAGAATTGCATCTACTTCACACTTTATCATTTCATCTAGGAGTTCTTTCTGGTTTTGTTGCCACAAATATGCTAAGGGGATGAGGCCTAGTCTAATGCATCTAGAAGAATAAGAAGCTATGGTAGAGTGATACCGCAGCAGCTAATATCTTCCAATATAATAAATAATATTACACACTTACACGTTTTCTACCCTAACTCTTTGGTAATCTGACAATATTGCACCAACGGAAACTGCGTCAATTTCTATTTCTTTTAGAATTTGTTCAAGTAATAAGTACAAATCTTCAACTTCATCATTATCAGACGGCTTATAAATTTTTCCTCTTTCATTTGAAATTCCTAAAATGAAACGAGTAAGTATGTAAGTATATGAAATTTATTCACTTACAAAGACAGGCAAGTGAAACATTTGGAAAAAATTAAAAACTCAACCTATACATTTATGTACATTACGAATGTATAGATATTACTTAGTATTTTTTAACGAAACTTTGACGTATTTTATATAATTTGTATGATCAAATTTGATGTATGATCATATGTATGTACTCCCAAACAAATTATTCATTTGAAATACATATAGTAATTAATGACATCATTCTAAATTTCAATTAATTTAGAAAAAAAGAGACAGATCACTTATGAATGCAGTATATATTGGCTCCGGTTGTAGAATGAAAGATAAAATTTGCAGGTTAAATACTTAATCCTTTGAAGTTTGAAAATAATCTCCACAGAAACTATTTGAATATTTAACAATTTTCTGGTAGAAAGTTATTCCATATTTCATAACATTTATGTTTATTTTATTTTAACCAGCCACAATCTGTTCAGTCAGAAAGTTCCTTTGAAATAAATTCAAGAATGTGTTGAAGTAACATCTGTTGTCACATGGTAGGAGACCAGATAATGAAAAGGTCAATAAGAAACATAAAGACTACTAGACAAATACTTCTGGGAACACACATAGTAAAAATATTTTCAAAGGGATCACCTGATGAAAGAACTGAGGAACTGTTTCAATAGAGCACAGATGGTGGATACTGTCCATTTGGAGGACATCTGAACAAAATAAGGCTGTATAAAGAAGACCTTAACTGCATGAAGGAGAAAAAGAAATATATCTCATGATGTATTATGCAAATATGAAGCATTGTCTCATATTTGCTTTTCATTGCATTCAAACAAATTTTCTATTATTAGAAAATTATTTGGGAAAGAAAGGTTTTGGCTTTCTACATCTAAATCTTTATGCAAAAAAAGTGAGACCCTTCCAAAGAAAGAAAAAAAGCAATTAATTTCAAAATAGACTCCTTACTTCTTTGCCTGATCTAAACATCGTTGTAAAGAGTTTATTTTGAAATTAATTGTTTACTTCCTTTCATTGGAATATTCCCACATTTTTTGTATGAAGATGGAGAAGTAAAAAGCCGAAACCTTTTTTCAATAAAATTATTCTCACCTAAAAATACACCCCTTTCAACATAAACAAGATTCCTATGGCTGGGATTAAATCAAATAAGCTAATGAATGTCATTACGTACAGTCATTGACGACATGAGTAGATTCAACTTATTCGTGACATAAAGTCCTAATTTCATTCATTAATTGAGTGCTTTATCTTTTAATGTTATTCAGAATGGTGCGGTAGAGGCAATAAGACAAGTGTCTTATCTTGAAACATAAGATGTTTGCCATTGAGGATGAAAAAGTTCTATGTAAGTGAAATTTCATCTCTTTCATATATTATATTGTGTAGCAATCCTGTGAATGATATCTGATTCAATTCCATAACGAATGTTTGGAGAACAAACTGAATAGAAAAAAGTGTTGTTTGTATAATTCAATGTTCATATAAAAGTAGTTGTTTCGAAAGTATTTTATTTTTTTTGTGTAATTCAATGTTTATATGAAAGGAGTCGTTTCAAGAATGCTTTTTTTCAAGTTTGTCTGCTATCTTCCTTTCTTTGTAGAATTTCCACATTTTTCTGTATGAAGATGGAGATGTAGAAAGCTGAAACCATCCTTTCCTAATAAATTATTTGTTTTTATAATATGTCATAATCAAACAGACTAAGCCAACCAAATTATTACAAACAATGCTGTAGATAATATCTGTAATAGTAAAAGGTATACTATTCTACACTATACATTATACACATAGTTATCATAATAGCTATCATAATGATAGCTCAAGACAATAATTTGAAATTTTTTCCATTTTGTCAGAAAGCTCTTGGAAATTTGTCCTTTTATACATGATTAAGATTGTGAATAAATGAGTAAATAGTTGAAATCAATATGGAGAAAGTTTTCTCCTTTTGACCAAAATAATGTATACTCTTAGGTCAAGAACCACAAGACATAATATATACTCCTGACCTCCTCACGAATAGGCATATTCTATCACATATTTTGGTTGGTTGTTTCAATTATATGCTTGTCAAAGGACAATTTTTCATGAACAGTAACATTTTTATTTCCCTGATCTTTTTGTTCACATTCTTTGTTCCATTATATAGCACAATTCTTTATATTATTGAAGCGCCTTATGTGAATAAACTTTTTGTCAGACCTGCTACTTTCCCCATTAACATATGATTAATGTATTCAATTATATTCAACATTTCAACCCCACCACTCTCAATTAATTTATATAAATAGAACTCAACAAAATAGTATTGCCAAATGATGTGTAAGTAGTATTACACATAAAAAATTGATAACACAGTAATTTTAATTTTTAGAAAACTAAAATCACTTACCAAACGTATCCCTTTTGTATAATGGTAAATCCATAGCTGCAGCAATGGAGTCAATAGCTTCATGCCCTACACTTTGATACATAAAGCTATCTAACTCGGTTTTGTTATGTGGAACCAAGTTTGCTAATGCTACAATTTGATGACCAGCAGCAATACACTGCATCATATTGAAGGTGCTGTCTTTGCCACCACTTATTAAGGCAACAACTTTCATGTTTGAAAAGGTTTAGGAGCTGAAAATAATTGCCTTATGATCGATTATGAAATAATGCAAGATATCTTGAATTGTTTATTTCATAACATAGAAAGCCCTGTAGAAAAGATAAACAATATTATCAAAAATAGAAACATATTTTAAAATTATATTGACGCTACCATCAAATTATGTTTTATCAGAGAAAATATGTTTTATAAAAAGCAAATACCCACCAAAAAAGGATGATATCAACTATTCTTAAGAAAATTAAAAAAAATTAAAAAGAGTGAATATTGTAAACATAATTTTGAAAAGGTCAAATGTAGAACACGGAGTCACAGAATAAATACCTATATTTGACACGGAACACATAAAATTACAGTGACGGAAGTTGCAAGCAATAAATGACAGGTAAATGCCATCTACTGACAATTCTTGATTTCTACCTTAACTTAACCTCAATATTTTTAAACCTCTCCAAAAATACATATGTTGATGAGGGCAATAGCCAGAAATACGTGTCCGCGCTTTGCTATCAATTTTATATTAGATATATAATTATTAGGTTGTTTCAAAAGTTTGGTCGTTTTTATAAACCTACTTTGAACTGTGATATCTCAGTGAATACTCATTCAATTTGATCGAAATAAATACCATTTGAATCAATGCACTTTTGCCAACGCAACACAAGTCGATTAATTCCGTTAGCATAAAAATTGGGTACTCAGGATCCAATGAAATTGACGAAAGCCGTTTTTGCTCGGTTGCAGAAAGTTATAACGAATCACAGTAACTATGGTCTTTTTTGGTGGGCTTTCGCCTTTGGGAAGTGCCAAGGTGGCTCATTGGGATCCAACTACTGTTCTGAACGTCTCCTGTTGTCGTAGATAATCCACTTTTCATCACGATCACTTTTCATGACGATCCGATACAAAAAAAGGATCGTTTTGGTTGCACAAATGCAAAGAAGAACAGACCTCGAAACTTCACAATTTATGTCGATCGTTCAAATCGTGGGGTACCCACTTTTCGAGCATTATGACCGTTTCAATACGTTTTAAACCATGTTCTTCCGTTATACCATGCACCGTTTGTGAAGGATCTGTCTCCACCAGGGGCATGCAATTCTCGTCCTGGATTATTGTAGGTATAGAGTACAAAATTCTATATAAATCAGTGTATATCACGACACAGTAGAATAAATATTTATTGAGATATGGAGATACGAAAACACATGACATTGAAACGGACAAAACTTTTGAAACAACCTTTCGATCAATCATTATTTGATTTCAATTTAACAATCAGCGTTAGACAGCTGATTCAGCTGTCTGGCGGTGGTGGTACTCGAGTACTTGACATAAATCACTGCTTAAACGCAAGCGACACAGAAGTGGAACCACCTATTGGTATGATACCCAAGATTGCAGTGATTTTTATCAGGTAACTCGTCTTGGACCAAGCACTCAGAAAATATACAAACCGCATACATGTGTTTCTGGCTCATTTGATGTCATCAGTACGGTAAAAACAAGTGTTGGATGTCACGCAGGTAGCTAAAGTAGCCTCGTGGTGACTTTGGTGATATCTCTGACCTGACGTGACTTGACCCGAAACCACAAAGTGCGGCTGGCTTCTGTTGATTACTCCGTGCATTTGGGTTCTTTCTACAACAAAGTGCTTTGCTATACCGTACTGATCACAGCTAATTAATGAGAAACACGTATCAACACTTGACTGCGATTTGCATATTTTCTGTGTGTTGGTCAGTTGTTCAAGCCCTAGCCTGAACGATCGATTTTCACTTGCTATCGTCCAACCCGTGAAAGGAATCACACGTTAAAAGGTAAGACCTCATTAATCCTTAGCTCGCACAAGTTTCGACTTCTGAGGGTTGTCGTTCGTAGGGGTGCGACAGCTGATATATATTTCATTTCAAAAGCCACCGGTAGGCAGCTATAGACAGCTGTTTCAGCCTATTAGGCATCGTCAGTACCGAGCAGGCGGTACTTGATTGAAGACAAAATGTGAACAACCAAGAAAGGTACTGGATAAAAATAACTGGATAAACGCAAGCAAGACATAAGTGCAACCACCTATTGGTGTGACACCCAAGTCAACTTGCCAGGTTTTTATGTAAGCGTTGGTGGGTTGACCAATCAATCGACAACTGTGGCAGCAGAAATTTGGATATAAGCCATCCTGGAATCTGGAATTCTTCAAGTACTTTTTTTGGTTATTCACATTTTGTTTTCAATCGAGGACCGCCTGTCCGATATTGACGATGTCCAACAGGCTGAAACAGCTGTCTACCGGTGGCTTTTAAACTGAAATCAATATGGGAATGATCAGAATAGTACTTATCTATTTATCTTTTGATTTTCATGGAATTATTTTCCATTAACTTGACTGCATATGTATATATACATCCAACTCCATTCATTTTGCACCCCAAATCATCATCTTGCGCTCTGAAAACTACTTTAAACCATGTCAATGAAACTGAAACTGAGTATATAATCAATAGTCCTTCAAAACATAATTACAATTGCATTGTCATACTCAAATACATTTTCAGTGCATGAAAATCATTACGAAAAGAGGTAAACTATCAAGTATTCATTAATTATTGTTTATGCAACTTGCCTAATGAAGGGGGACACCTGCTATAGTGGGGACACGGACTTGAAGTTAAATCTCCTTTCTGCTTTTCTTGGTATCGACATTGTCAGTCTTGGTTTCCAGGTCATACTGGTACGAACATTTAAGTGCCGAGAAAGTTTTCGTTTAGTTTCTCATTTGTATGCTTTTACCGAATATTTTGAACCATCATTGCGCAACTCGAATGAGTAGTGACTGAGAATATTTTATGTCTTTTTTGTGTTAGAACTATGTGCCAGAAGTTTTGAGACAATTTTAATTATATCAGAGAAGAAATGGTAAGTTTCTAGGCAGGGCTAATTGCGCTTCCTAAATATAGCTATTGCTGAATTAAATTTCTATTATTTTGAACTTACAGGTTGATGTGAAATGTGGAAAATTCAAAATGGTACGAGTTGGTTGGCTTATAAAATGTCGAAAATTATTTTTTTGAATTTTTAAATACCAGCTTAGAAATACTCGTGTGAATTATTGTGAAAAGATACTCAAAAAATTCATTATGGAAACCAAAAAATTCGTATACTCGTATAGCATTGATATAGGTGACGAAACGTAGATATACAGCGTGACTCACCATCGATGGTAGGTTAGACGTTTCTGGAAAACGCAAAGCATGGTTTTTCTGAAAATTTCACCTCTCACAGAACAGGTAAGGACTGTTCTATCGATCTAAAATATTTTCAGCATTGCGACGTTGCCACTTTCATCAAAAAGTCCTAGCAACTTAATTTTTTTAAATGGAACACCCCGTATATTAATACAATTTTGGAATCGCTCAGGTATTTTAATACTTTTTTGTTGATAATGTCCTATACCTATCTCTATCTGTTTTCGAGATAAAAAATAAATTGTCCAAAAAATGGTCCAAAACATAGCCTTAATTGAAATTAAGTACATCAGTACTCTCAATTCATGAAAAGTTGATATTCCGATGATAGTTTGGACAAACTCGAAATATTCAAATAACACCAAGAAATCGACTCCATATCATACAGGGCGTGCTAAAATTACTATTATTTCCATTGTGCATAAAAGTAGTCAAAAGTTCATTTTTTCAAATAAAATCCCCTATATATTACTCGGGAAATTGAAAGATGGTAAAAAATGCTTCAAGATGATATATTATGTCCCTATACCTAAATCGTCAAGTTTTCTCAATAAAGTTGCTTCTTCTAGAAACATTATTTTTTTAGAATTTGGATTTAGGTAGCAGTGGAATTATCAAGCTTATAGCAGTTCGGTTACTTTTATAAATAATTTACAAAAAGTTATCGACGGTGTTTCGAATCATCTTCTAAAATGAATGCAAATATCGATTATTCAAACGAAGTTCTTATGAAATTATTTATTATACACATGAACAAAATGATCAAATCATTGTCTGAACGTGTAAAACATTCAACCAAACGTATCCTGAATTAACACCAATGAACGTGAGGTGAAAAGTAAGATTTTGTGGGCTAAAACATGTGAAAGTACAGACAATAACAGAATAGGATGATTCAAAATAACAAAATTGTAAACAAAATATCACATTTTCACAATAAATGCTGAAAATGTTGTCCATTACATTCTAAACACTTTAAAATGTTTTTTTTTTGTACGCGACTTGTGGTTGCTTTTTCAATTTCCTGGGGATCCAGATCTTCAATACTCCGCACTATACGCCGTCGCAATTCTTCTTTGGTAGGCACTGGAGTACTGTATACCCTTTCTTTTAAAACACCCCATGAAAAAAGTCAAGTGACGTGAGATCGGGTGATCTCGGTGACCAATCCCACGGCCCTAAACGCCTAAACCAACGATCGTCGAAGAGTTCGTCAAGTTTCCTGGAAACTTCCTGGGTGGAATGAGCTGGCGCTCCGTCCAGTTGAAACCACGAATTCCTATATTCCTCTAAAGGCAAATTTTCAAGAAAATCGGTTATAGTCGTCCTTAATATTTGGAAATATCTCTCTGCATTCAGTGTGTCTTCATGAATTTTGATTCGTCGCTTCAAATTATTTTTGACAAAAATTCCTGATCTTTCTGTGTATGAATCAAAAGGGATTCACAAAAATGCATTCTACGTTCGAAGTCTTCTGCTTTTAGAGCTTGAACTTTGGTGAATTTATACACATGCATTCCGTGATTTTTCAAAATTTGTTGTACTGAAGCATGTGATACACCTAAATCTTTTTCTGCACTGCGAATGGAAGCTTCTGGATATGCATAAAAAAATATGCCAAAACGTTAACAGTATTGTTCTCATTTGAAGTAACAGGTTTTGGTAATGTTGAAGGCGCTTTTAACATGGAGCCATAGTTAAGGAAATTATTTTGTAATCTCACAAACTTTCTCTCGTTCATTGGTGTTAATTCAGGATACATTTGGTTGAATTTTCTACAAGTTCTGGCAATGATTTGATCACACTGTCCGTGTATAATAAATAATTTCATAAGAACTTCGTTTGAATAATCAATATTTGCATTCATTTTTGGCAATTTTTTGAAACATCGTCAATAATCATTTATCAATTACTTATAAAAGTCACCAAACTGACATAAGCTTGATATTTCCACGGCTACCTAGAAATCAAATTCTTTAAAAATTATTTTTTGTACAACTGTTATTGAAAATCTCTTTGATAGAAACACTTCAATCAGAACACCTACCAAAAAATCATTTAGAAAAGTTCACACGTGCAGTTCGTGCTATTGGTAATATTGAATCCCTGTGATTGACGATGACGAAGTAGTATTCAGTCCAACTGTAGAAAGTCCTTCATGACTAACCAATAATCCTCCTTAAAATAACGTGAGTTGGCATATGTAATTGTAAGATATGCCTTGTAATCCAAAGATCGTGTGTTCAAATCCAATGGACCCTATAATTTTTTTTATTATCAGCAGTAACGTTATACAAAAAAATTTGTATGATACATTTGTTAAAAGTGATTTTAATTTGCTCGTGAGTTTGCTCCACTTGCTGACGCTCGTTTTGCAATAATCCCCACTCACAAAATAAAATGCCACTTTCAACACTCGTAGGTAAAACGTGAATAACAATTTTTTCACAGAAACGGCTTTATTAAGAAAACTTGACGATTTAGGTATTGAGACATGTATATCATCTTGAAGCATTTTTCACCCTCTTTCAATTAATCGAGTAATATACAGGGGGTTTCATTTGAAAAAATGAACTTTCGACTACTTTTATGCACAATGGAAATAATAGTAATTTTAGCACGCCCTGTATGATATGGAGTCGATTTCTTGGTGTTATTTGAATATTTCGAGTTTGTCCAAACTATCATCAAAATATCAACTTTTCATGAATTGAGAGTACTGATATACTTAATTTCAATCAAGGCTATGTTTTGGACCATATTTAGCACAATTTATTTTTTATCTCGAAAACAGATAGAGATAGGTATAGAACATTATCAACAAAAAAGTATTAAAATACCGGAGCAATTCCAAAAATGTATTAATATACGGGGTATTCCATTTAAAAAAATATAATTGGTAGGACTTTTTGATAGAAGTGGCAACGCTGCAATGCTGAAAATATTTTAGATCGATAGAACAGGTAAGGAAATGTGAAAGGTGAAATTTTCAGAAAAATCATGCTTTGCGTTTTCCAGAAACGTCTAACCTACCATCGACCGTGAGTCACGCTGTATTCATATGAACCAAAAACAAAGCAACTATCTACTAATTGGGTATTTCGAGATGAATCAAATCTCATATAGCAGATCCAAATAAAATATAGCTTGTTACACAGTTATATATAATGATCCGATTAACAAAAGCCCCCTGCCGGAAAAGGAGTCACACGTGGAGGTACCACTCTGAGCCCACTCAGTGTCTCTAACGGAACCTTCGAAAAACTGTGCCCTTTTGTCCTTGGCTACTCGTGCACCCTTTATGAATCATGAAATAATCTAAGAAGCCGGCCCTGAGCTTACCGTTGAGATGGACGTTGATAAAACGACCCTAACTGTCCTCCCCATAACAGTGGATCAAGAACAAGAGCTTCTCAGTTCTCCAACAGCTGATTCTATCAACACACCTTACATACCATTAATCTGTCTTGCACTAAATTTTTGGGCAACAGAAGTTGAAGCAGAATGTTTTCTCTCCGCCAGGACAGAAAATAAACTCTTTCTGAGCAGATCAGCAAACGCTCACGCTCAAACGAAGTTTCATCCAAATCCGAAGCGAAAAAGCTCTGCATGGTCTAATGTAATGTGTTGTCAGGTATATTATTCTTTGGGTCAGATGCCCTAATATAGGAAATTTGCTGCGGTCGTCAAGATGGTGGTGGTGGATACATTTAGGAAGCGATTATCACCTCCACAAGAGCAGAAAATCTCATGAATCTGCCTTGCACCAAACCGTTACCATTGAATAATGTTTTAAATCTGTACGATTCTAGAACCACACATTTCGTCCTGATTGGCTACATGTTATCTAAAAGGATCGTTCTAGCATCTTCTGGCTATTGATTGCGTTTAATAGGTACTGTGCAGCCATGGGAATGTATTTTTCTGAAATGCGTCATTGGAGAGCTACTTTTCCCAAGCCACAGATTTATGTTACTCACCTACCCGACAAAGTTGGAGTGTATTATTCTTCAGAAGAAAGTTTCAGGTTTTGCCTAGGCAGCCGTGAAACGAATCAGATTTTCAGCATTTGGTAGAGTTCGACTTATGCCAGTTGCCCTGAAAAATCACTCACCAAATAAAATGATCGACTACGACAAAAAACTACATTTATTTTGTCGAGTTTGAATATGTATGAGCCACGATAAAGTCTCGGGGGTTACAGAGGAGAGTCGAATAGACTAATTCACTTTGGACCTACCCACCAAAAGTTTACAACGAAATTTAGGTGATTTAGGTGACTTTTGCAGACACTAGCATAGAAAACGATGTAGAAAAATTGACTGCACAGTGATATTTGATTCAGAAAATATACTCTGTTCATTAACAATAGCATCTTATGGAATGGTTTTACATTTTTTGCCACAAACTTCTGGAGTTTCAATCAAATTTGAAATAATCATGTGTTAACAAATGCCACTAATACTCCAAAATTCATCAAAAAAGTATTTACTTCCGGCTGAATTCTTTTGAAAAATTGCAAACACAAAAATTCTGTACCTACAAGATTTAACTCTTTTTCGTTACTTTTCGAATTGTATCTCCTTATAACTACACCAACAATTTTTTGTTTTACAGCAAAACTAATAACGTGGTTGACTTTCTCGTATCAAGTTATTTCTGCTGGTAAAC